CCAGTTCCTTCCTGAAGCTCACACTAACATCTACCATTGCTGCTGGGGTTAGGATTCCATTTTTCCCAGACAAAGAGGAGGGCTCTGGGCTGTGCAGAGACTCTCCCTGAGAGATGCACATCTCTCCAGTCCCCCAGAAATACCCAACTGCTGAACAAGTTTCAAGGGGACAGGCTCAGAGCACACCAAGCTGGGGTGAGCACCCAACTCCAGCTCTTTGCCTGACCCTCCTGCCTCACCACTCCTTGTTCTGATATAAACATTTCCTATAGTGCCCCTGGAACACCACTTGAAATGTATGAAATCAACTGAGAGAGGGTTGGCATTTTTTATTGGGTTTGGGAGGGGTTTTTCCCAGAATAAATTTATACAACAGTTCATGGGCTTCTGTAACTGTTCCATCTTTTTATGAGCTAGAGCGGAAAAACCAGTTCTAAACTGTGCAATAAAACCTGCCAGCCTGAATGCGGCCACGAAATAAAAATGTAATAAACCCAATAAGCATGAATAATAATGAAAGGGCAAAACCAAGGAAATAATTCAACAGATGTGTGACATTCTTGTTCTTCATTGTGGATCAGTTATTCTTGTTAATTATATCACCTATTCTTCCCTTAACATTGATAATTACATGAAGCAGATGGAGAACAGAATGCTCCCAGATGGTGAGAAAGCAAACAAGTTTACAAATTGTTTATTTATGAAAAGATCATTAAAAATTATTTAATTATCTATAGTTTTCTACTCCACCAATAATGACATGCACTCTAAAGGCCAGCAGCACTTTATAAGGTATTCAGGATTCTGTTGTAACCAAATGGTTTTTAATGTAACATGACTGAAATGACTAACAGATGTGCAAACCACAATAATTATCTAATCTGTTTTAACACTGGGGGAATCAAGAGCTTGAATCTTTGGATCTTCTGCCAATTGGCGCTTCAGCACTGGTTGCTGATTCAGAACCCAAAAATCAGAGATTTCCTTTTGCTTTGGAACAGCTGTACGAGGTGTTTGATCTAATGGGCAGACAGGAGCTCTGTCAGGTCTGTGCCCTGAAGCCCAGAGTGCAGCAAATGAAATTCTGAGCTGAGACAGGCCCCTCTGCTCCACCTGCTGCTCAGCAGGTACCCCCAAGTCCAGGCACTTCCACGACTGGATGCAAATTCCATGGTCAGCATCTGTGCCATTCCAGAGGGCTGCAGTGGGAGATAGCAAGTGTGATGCCTCCCTCTCTGTGCCTTCTCAGTCCACGCTTCCCCAGTTTATCCAAATCTCTTCAGCAGACCAAGATGAGATAAGAGCACGGTACAAAGAGACACAAAATCAGCAGCCAAACGTATTTGCCATCTCAAGGCATGAGAATAAGAAATTAAGAATTTACAGCCACAGAATGGAAGCACTGCTTGAGGAGTGACAGGGCTTGTGAGGCAAAGATAAAGTAGTAGAGTTGTGATTTAAGAGAAAAAGTAAGAAAACCTGTGGTGGCCTTAAAACCTATGCAAAGCTTTAATTAAAAGGTCAAGCAAATAGAGAAGAAACAGGGAGAGTTCCTAAGATCCATAGTTCTTTGGAGTCCTAGCCATTTTAGTAACAAGCCAAGAGGCTTGGCTCAAACTAGAAACAAGACTGAACATTAGAAATGCCACAAGCACAGAGAGAACAGGGTGACTAGAGAACTGCAGGTAAATAGTCACACAGATAGCAGTAAGTTGCTGGTTTATATAGAGCAAGTTTTTGGATTTTAAGACTACATCTCTACCTGACATCTAGCTCTCCCTGAGAGTCCAGGAGGAAGGACTTATGCTTCCTTCAACACCAGGAGACACAGCTTGTGCTGCCTGTCAGAGGCAGGAGCAGGCTAGGAATCCATGGAAGAGCAGCACACAGCATTCCCCCCCGGCTGGCTTTTCCAGACACCACAGGAGAATAGAGATTTGACAGAGGGAAAACGAGAACAAGTTACCCCAGACTTCATTTCCGGTGCTCATCTGTCTGTACCAACCAATCCAGACCTGCAGGAAAACCATCTCTCCAACACAGCCGAGCTCCATCTGCACTGGCAGAGCATGGGAATTAGCTGAGAGCAAAGCTTCTGTGCTGTCTCTTCTGGCTTTGGAGGAAGGAAAGGGGAAAGTGTCCGTGTGGGTCCTGCTTGAGTTCTGTGTGCTGGGTCAATGTTTGAGTGAATGTCCCATGCTCCAAGCAGGCTGGAACGTATTAGAGAGTGACAAAGACTGAGCCCAGGGCTCCCTCTGCACACTCACTGAGATCCTGAGCCACTAACGGCCCATGGAGACCCTCACACAGATCAGGAGCTGTGCTCTGACACCACATGGCTGAGCTGCTCAGCCACAAGCTGTTACTGGGGAAAAATACAGTTTGCAGCTAGAAAAGGAGAGCAAGAGCTTAAAAATGGCTGGAACAAGAGGAAGGCAGCTGAAAAAGCAGTAGATGAGAGGTAGATGTTGATGGTTCGATGTCAAGGAGCATCTTGTGGGTATCAAAGCAGGAATATCACTACAATTATCTCCATTACAAGCAACAGATACTCAAGCAAACAACTAGGGCATGCAGTCAATGAAAATTTTACATTTCTGAAACCGACTTGTATTTACAATCTTGTGGTTCATGTGACAAAGGCTGCCACCATTGCAGAGCTCTCTAAAGCAGCAACTACAGCAATAACCTGTCCTCCAGCTCTCAGGAGCAAAATGGGCACTGGTTCACATCTGGAAGAAATGCTTTCAAATAGGAGAGGGTAAAGGCCCCTCAGCTCAAACCAGCTCGATGAGCCTACATAAATGTGTGATAAAGAAACAAGGAACAGTCTCCACTGCTTGGTCAGATCTCAACATCCTGCAAGATCCTGCCCCAATCTTGTTTAAAACCACCAAAACAAAGACGATAGGAGAAGGTGTATCCTTACCGCTATGCAGGTGCTGGCTTCAGACATCTTCCCACTAATTTCTACTCCAGACTCTTTGCCTTTTTCCTGTCTTCCTCTCTTCTCCACATTTGCCTTAAAACACTGCCTTCCCATGTCCCTTTTCCCTCACTTGCTAGCCTGTTAGCATGTTCTACAACCAAAATACACTTCACTTTATCTCACAGTACTTTTTAAGGTGACAATTCTCAGCCTTTCCAACCTGCAGAGCTATCACATTTATCTCCTCGGTAGAACACGTTGCACTTTGTCACACAGATTGCACCTTGCTGTTTACAGAGGGTCTGAATGGGCCTTTTGAATCACTACAAAAAGGTAGGATAATAACTTTGTGCTTACTGAAATTTAGTCATATTAATTTACAAAATACACCTGAGTTTATTTGTAACTTCACTGCAGGATTTGGCAGGGCAGTGCAAGATTACTGATAGGTATCAATCTTCCTTTACAAGGCTGTGAGCAGAGAGAGGGCAGGTGCCTCATGCCTGGCTGCTCCCCGAGCTACAAAGCAGCCGGAGTGTGAAAGCAGCAGCAGCAGCTCCTTCCTGCCACGAGTACCCCCGGTCTGTGCAGCCTACCCCTTGTGCTACAAACTCCCAACCTACGGTGGCAAAAGGTCACTTCATGCACTCCACACAAGAGTCAATTGAACTTCATATGGTTTCCAATCTTGGTATTTCAGAAAAGTCAGCAGCAGTAGCAGCTGAGCTTTATCCTCAAGTTACCAGCCAGCACTCAGCCCCAGATGTCCATCCTGACAGAGCACAGTCTGTCAGAAATCCATAATTCATGCTGGCCAGATGCGTGGATACTTACATAGTGACAGCCTTTACTCGGGGATTTTTGTCAGAAAGTTTTCATGAAAATCTCATATTATTAAATAGAAATTCAACTTTTGAGATTTAAAGCAATTATGTCGCTACTTACAACTCACAGAAAACCTCAGGAAGAACCTGAGAATGGAGGACACAACATTTGCAAATCTTTCAAACACAGGAACTCTGAGATTTTCCAGCTTCAACCAAAATGCTAAGATGAGTTCTTTTAGTAAGAGAGCAACAGCTCACTATAAAGATAAAATACAAAGTAATTTAAAGAAAAGCATCAGACACTTCATTCTGCAGAAAAGATAAAGGTGGAATGTGCATGTGGAGGGAAGACTATTCAACAAAGCCAAGCTCAGACCAATGGCCTCAGCCATTTTCTGAATTTTGCTTTGCCAACTGCTGCCTAATTAAGTTTTGGGTGCCAAAACCTACTGACTAACTGAGAAGAGGACAGCACTAAAAATATTATATGGGAACCCATCTCAGCCAACTGGAAGTTAGTACAGAAATAAAGCTCCCTAATCATGTTTCTCCATGAAATTACAGCTACCTGTGGAGAATATCTATCACTAATGGTGTTTTTCCTAACATTTTAGCTTCACTGGTTAATCTTTTGAGGAATTACCTACACACATTTTAGTTACTTAAAAATGTAAGAGAATCAGATGTAAGCGATTTAACAGATGAAACTTTAAGAGACATTTCATTTAGAACCTCCAGACTGCACCAGTTCTACACAAATAAGAATTTTTGGTAACAAAGTCAATCTTTTCCTTTGCTGTTAAATCAACTTGGTGCTTTGAAGTGTTCCTGAAGGGTTGGTCTCATGCATGGAAGAAATCTGACTTTAGGACTTGAAAATAAAACCTGAGTTAGGCAATGTCTACAGAGTCAGAAGCACAGCATTGTCTTCTTTCCATTTGCTGAGCACAGCACTAAAATAAACTTAGCAGAAAGAAGGGCTAAACAGCAAGGCAGAGCATCTCCCGTGTGCTGGGAGTTTGATGCTGCTCCAGTGCAGGCCCAGAGTGCAGGAGCGTGGCTGCCCAGCGGCTGCAGAGGGTGCCGGGTGTGCCCCTGCAGCCTGGCCACGGGGAGGGTACAGAGCCCACGGCCGTGTAATTGAGGAGCAGCCATCACCACTGGGCTGGTAATGCCATCCCATCTGCCAAGCCCTGCACGAGCTGGCACCGTGCCCCCTGCCTGCTGCTGCTCCTGTCACCCACCTGATCCTTGGAGAGCTGCTCTGACGGAGCGTTCTTGCCAAGCTCTCGCAGAGGATAGACAATCTGTCGTCTGGGCCGCACGGGAGCCATGTAATGAAGGGCAGATGTCAGGGAATGGGCACAGGGGCTCTGGAACTGAGAGACACGATCCATATTTCAGCAGAGAGAATGTCAGAACAGCGCAGCACAGATGTCTGCGGCACGGCTCTGCAAGCACACGATTCTTAGCTCTGTTGGCTAAATCTGAGACAAAAATCAGCAAATAAACAAACATACTCAGAGCAGAGGAATGAATTGCAGATAATTCCTGACACTAATGAAGATAATTATGAGAGTAATTACATTACTATCTCTGTGGGAATGACAGATAAACAAGTGGTTTGGTTTATGGGATTTTTCAGCACAAGTATTTTCCCCAGGAGGATATTTTTCTCCATAGTGATCATGAATCAGCTTGATTTGACCTCATTAAGCCATGTTATCTGCTCACTGCTAACCTTTGCTTGCTTGGCAAAGAACAGTGATGAATTTATATAGAAATTCTATACTGACTGAGATGTCTAGTTCATCCAAGTGATAAATGTTAATACACCAGCAGAAACTTGAAGTGAACAAAACCCTAATGCTCATGTGAACAGCCTGGATCATTAGAAATAGCTGTGTCTGTCCATTACAGCATGACTAGCTCTGGCATAATTTACAACATGAAAGGAAAAAAGAAATAAGAGAATTACAGGAAATACAGAATGAACATTAATGCAAACTAAGTTACACTCAAGTGCCACTCAATCCACAAATATTAAAAAAAACTTGATGTTACTATGTTGAAAACTGAGTAAAACATCACATTTACCACTTTAGAGCAATGACACACTAAAGTAATTCAGAGGAACTCTAGCCAGGAAAAAGGCCAAACTGGAATCATTAGTAAGGCTTAACTTTTCTCTTCCATCCACTGCCATTGAACTGCATTTCTGTAAGTGCCTCTCCAGAACCTCAGAACCCAACGCTACGTAGGGACACAAGTTCCACAAGGGAGCACTTAACAGCTCCACAAGGGTACACAGGAGAACACGTCCTTCCGCAAATGTACCCAGGTCTAACCTGGCAAAATTCCTACATGAGAACTGGTGGCGATTTCAACACCACACAATTCACCAAGGACAGAATCCATCTCAGTTACCATCTCAGCTCCAGGGGCTCAGTCCAGCCGGCCATACAGAGCCCCCGGGCTGGAGGGGAGTGTGTGCAGGGGGCAGTTCTGTCTATGCTCAGACAGGCAGGTATGAGCAGTGGATGAACTACCCTCGGGATGCACCCTGTGTTTCCAGCAGTGCTGGCAGGAGCCCAGGTAATCAGGCTGGGTCAGATAGTAACCTCAGATGGTTACACAGGCTTGAAGTTTTACCTTGCGTTCTCTTCTATCAGACCAGTGACACAGCACATGTGAGTATTTCTGAAAGAATCTTTTGGGTTGCTTCTACATATTACATTCTCCTTAGAAATGAATTTTCCCCATTAGGAGAAATCCAGTTCTTATGGCTCTCCTGTGACACTTACAGAAACACAAGTCGCATTTTCAAAGTCAGTGAGGTGCCTGAGACCCACTGACTTTTGGTGAAAGTGTCTAGAGTGCCTAAATCACGTCTGAAGAGTTTTTAAGCCACCAATATGTGTTTAAGATTACCCTTTGCATTTACTCAGAGTACATTATCCTCACGCTGGGCAAAGAGCCAAGGCCAAGGACACTTCCAACCTCTGTTTCCCCACACATTTGCTCAAGACACTGGTGGGTCTGGACTCACATGCACAGATCAGCCCCACTACGTGACAGCTGTGCCCAGAGTGCAGATTATGTCAAGCAAGAAGAACAGAAAGGAGTTTGCTGCAGGTTGTCACAAAAACATCTGTTTACAGTCATTCACAGAAGAAAAAAAAAAAAAAAAGTGAGCAAAGGCAGCAGTGTTTAATACAAGAAACAAATTATTTTCTCCTTACCTTGCCTTCCACATACTGTGGATAAATGGGATAGTAAAGAGTAGATTTGTGTGCCAAGCGAAGAATCTCCTTTAGAAAGTGTTTTGTATAGCGATGAAATACAGGATTTAAGACAAAGTGGCAAAGATGTCCATGTTCTTCTTGCTGGTGGCAATTAAAATGAATAAAATCTTCAATGTTGTAATGTGATCGAACATACTCAATATCCTGGAAAGTGAAAAAGTTGGAAATCAGCAGTGATCAGCAGCTACCTTGACAGGATTTTAGCAAGGGTCAATGAGTCACTTCCTATCACATCAAATGCCTTTGTTTTCAATTAAATTTCATTGTATCAAAACCTATTCTTGCAGCTTGTCTGCCCTCATTTGCAAGGGATGCAAATCTGACCCTTTTCCACCAAGGTCTGACACAGATTTTGCTGAGTTCAAGAGAGAGAACTGTCTTGACAGTTTTCTCTCTTTGATGAGGGCTGTCCTCTCACCAAATTCCAGCTGAAAAGAGGAAGCTGTGGAAGAAATACAGTCCAAAAATTCTTCCCTGTTGAACTGATAAGCTGATTTTTGCAAGTTTATACACTCAGTTAATATATCCTCTTATCTCAATGCTCTCAATTAAATTAAGAGCTATTTTGGAAAGTGACTGACTACTCTATCTTGAAAACTGACCATGAGAGCTGCTGAACCACCTAAAATCACCTTTTCAGTCCTAGTAGAATGCCACACAAGTAAGCCTTAGCAAGTGTTCACTTTTCAATAATAATGTGCAAATGCAACATACTCTTTTGTACTCTATTACAGCACACGCTGTCCTTTGTTTTACAGTGTCTGATTCATAATCACTCCATCTACTGTTGGAGAGAAAAGTTATAGAAGGAAATCTAGAAGAACTACTGCTTTTTACAGCACGTGTGGCTTATTGACTTGGGAATTAGAGGGGAAATCAGTGAATAAACATATTTAGGGGCAGAATGGCTTTGTGCTAGAGCACCAAAAAGTGCAGCAGGCAAACTTCCACAACACATCAGCAACTTCTTGCAGATGATAGGATGATTTTTTCATCTGTGTGCCACTCACGTGAGAAAAGGGGAGTGATACGTTCTACACAGTTGGGAAAGAGAGAAAGGGAGTTTCTAGAAGCAGTGTTTTTACAGACACTGTTAGGCACACATAGTGGCAAGTACAAAACTCAGCCTTTAGTGTGAGGGCCAAGCAACTGCTTATGGAACACAAACAGAATTTACCATTTCATCCCTGATGACAGAAACACCAACAATTTGATCCAAAACTTCTGCTACAAAAGCCTGTACTGGCATCCCATCCTGCAAGGCAAGAGCAACAGATACACATCTGATTTCAGCAGAAGGTTTTTAACAGTAGCAGTCACAGCTGAAACCACTCTCCTCCCAGTGTCCCTTTGAGGCATCACCCCAGTTTAAGCAGTGTGCTGCCCACGAGGAGCACTGTTTGAGTAGTGTGTGTGGCTGGACTCTGGACACACAGACCTTTCCTACACTGAAGTTTCAGTTTGGATCTCCCTGCCACAGGATTGCTACAGACCCAGTTGCTACAGGCCTGGGTTCGCTCCTGATCTTAGGAAAGAACCGTACCGGTGTTCACAACAAATACTCACGGGATCCCGGCGAGCCTCAGTGAATGTCTTGGAGTCGTTCCATATCTTTTCACTCAAACTAAGGGTTTCAACAAGTGTTTTGACACCAAGTAGGTCACTGGTTGTTGCCTTTCTTACGTTAAATGACCTAAAAAAGAGAATTAAGGTTCACTGTGACAAAATAAAGACAATTGCCAGGCTTAAGACAACATGTCCTCCACAAGAACCTACCACATCTTGCAGAACTTGAAACTCTTTGCTAAATGACTGTTGTTCCCAATGCAGACATAACTTATTGCACAGTAATAGAAGATATCACCAAGCATCTACTTGAGACAGGTCCAGAATCCTGCTTTACTTGCACTCAGTTTTTGTGCACCTACAGCCCTATCTCACATGGCAAATGATGACCTATAACCACAGGCATCACCTGCCTTCATATGACTAAGAGTCACCAGAAAAGGGAGGCAAAGAACCTTAAACGACTGTGGAATCTGTAACTACACACTGCTGCACATGGGCAAAGGAGAACAACAGAGAAAGGCAAGTAAAAGAAAAAAGGGAAGAGGAAGATAAAACAGCCAGCTGTCATCCTTGGAAATGGAAATTCATGTTCTAAGACAGGAACATGAATTTCCCCAAGAACAAGTTACTAATGTTTGTGTTAAGCCCTGGTTTTTCAAACAGTACCACAAGGATAAATTTACATGACTGCAAGGCCTCTGAGAAGCACAGAGTGCCAATTAGTAATCTCACAGCAGTGACACAGTATCAAAATGCCTATGCAATGTATACATGTTAGCTACAGACAGGAATATCCTGGCACTTAACTCCTTTATACACTGTGAGGAAACATCTTCCCCCACTAATGAGCAGCAACATTCCCTCCACTGTAGCAGTCCACAGCAGCTGAGCAGCTCTCCCATTGTCTGTTAAAGGCAGTGGCCCTTCCTGGTTACACAGAGTTCGTGTAGTAAACCCTCGTAGAGTGCTGTTCAAGGGACTGAACTACAGCTTCACTTCCAAAACTTCAGTTCTTTCACCAACAGTTAAAAACTCATAAATTCTCATTCCTGTTCTTTTTGCTTTCAATTTAAAAGCAGATTTGCTATTTGTCAGCCTCAGTCCCACTCCCATGGAGATGGATGCTGTGGAATATGTGTTTAATGGAGAGTAGTGGTACTTTGAAAAAACCCCAACCTACCAAGTATCTGGTATGTTATGGGAAGTTTCACAGCTCAATCCACTGACCATTTCCAAGTACTCAAAAACATACATTTGATTACTAAATTACAAACTAATCCTGAACTCAGCAAGCATCAGCTTAGCTTCCCCAGTTTCCAACATATTTCCACCATTAATTGCAAGACCAAACAAGTGATGAGTATGATGGCCAGCAGGACCAGCACCATGGTTCACACTGCAGCCCCTGAGCAGGCCATCCCCCAGCAAGCTTTGCTTCCCCACCCGTGCCCAGGGAAGACAGTTGTGCCAATAAGGAACTACACCTTTAATGTGACAGAAACATAAAAAGGTGAAACTTTTGTGGGGTTTTGTTTTGGGCTTTTTGGGTTGTTTTGTTTTTTAATAAACACTGCTCCACTGTGAGCATGAAACAGGAAGGACTATCCAAGGTCTGTACTCATTTCTCTCACAGCAATGAATTAACTCATTCTAGATGCCCGAGTCCTTTGACTGCTCAGAGACCAGGGCACTATTATGCTTTTTAGTGAAAATTGAGGGAAAGTATCCATTAAGCATCTCAGCCTATGCCTTGTCATCTGTTATTTTTTTCTCCTTCACTGTTAAGTAGCAGACTCTCACTTCCATTTGCTGTACTCTTGCTTTTTGTGTACTTAACACTTTTTTTTTTATTCCTTTTACAACCTGTACTAATCAGGAGCCCATTTTGTGTCTGTGCCTCTTCTGACTTTGCCCTTTCACATCTTCATGTTCCCATCTTCTTACCCCTCTTTTTCTTTGAATCCATTTTCTGTGACTTTCTTTTCACTCACATGCTTTTGAAAGCCATTGGTGTAAGTACAACATATTCATCTCTTACTTTCTCAGATTTCACTTATTTCCAAGAGAGTACCTGCTGCTGAACCCTGTGGACTTGGTTCTCCAGAAACTTTCCAAAGGCGTCATCTGGTCTCTTCCAAAGCTTTTCTGATGCTGAACCTCAATGAATAGCTATTTTTCCTTACTATCCTGCACAGCTGCAGGGGATTTGGAAAATGTTACTAATGACCCTATTTTTTTTTCATGGAAGGGTTGGTTCATTTGGAATATGCGGAGTTTAATTGGAATTGTGAGGGTTTTTTGAAAAACCTTGATAACCACTTTAATTTTGATCAGAATCACAGGAGGACATATGACTCCCAACCCTACTGGTGTATTACTGAGCAGCTGTGCCTGAGACTACCAGGAATTACTCCAGGAGCTTTCTCTCCAGCCAGCTGGATTCTTACACAGGACCCAGAAGCCCAATTTCATCCCAGGGTAAAAAGCTTCTGCACAGGTCCAAGAGTAGCTGGCCAGGTCCTGCATGAGCTATTTGTGTACCACCAAAGATGATCAAATATGCAATTCAACCAGAAGTATTTCTCTGAAACCACACATTATTTAGCTACATTAGGACACAAAGAAAGAGAAAGCCTCCAACTGTGCCACAATTTCAGCTTGGTGTTTGGGCCAGGACATGTGTGATATACAAACAAAGCTTTGGAACACTCACTCCACATAACAGAAGTCACAAGCAAGAAAGGTTTGGTTCCCCAGTTCCCCAGTATCTCAGCCTACAGGAGCATTCAGAGAGTCACAGAAACTGAAGGCATGAAATAAGTGATTCAACACCAAAAATAAGAGAAGTGCTATAAAACAGGTACTCAGTGAGGTTACTGCTGTGTTGTGCACGTTCCAGAATCATGGACCGCAGTTCTCTTAAGAGCCATAGCGTGTTTCCAAGAATTACATCTACACCAGGCTATGTGGTATCAATGGCACACAGCCTGACCCATACTCCAGGGACCAAACAACACTGTGTTCCTCTGCTGGCCTTGGCCCACAGCACAGCAGCAACAAGGAGCTGCTGGTCTGCAACAGTGTTCATCTTACTTACCTGAGCACTGTATACACAAATTTTAAGGAATCCTCTTGCTGAACTTTGGTTTTACTTAAGGGAAACTATATACAATGTTGGCATCAGAAGACTGGTTGCTTTCACACTTGTAATTACCTCATTTATGTTTCATTAAGAAGTCATGTCAGTTACTACTTCATTTCACTAAAAACAAATACAATTCTGTTACTGTACTATCTCATATAGTGCTGTGGAGATGCAGCTGACTGGGCCTGGCATGCACCCCAGGACAGGGAGCACAGACAGCTGCAGTACTGCTGCTACAGACTGAGGTATTTAGCTCTGCTCCCCATTGCTCCAGGCACAGTTCTGTGCCATTTAACAAGCTTCCACTTTTACAAGATGTTCTGTCATACCTCGCAGAAGCACCAGGTTGGCCTGGGCCAGCAAAGGAACACCTGTGTGGTGCCAGGTTGCCTGGTGCCAGCCTGTCCCCAGCATTCAGAGCACAGCAGTGCTGTCTCAGGCACACACTCACGTGAGCAATCCCGCACGGTGCAGCACGTACAGCTCACGACCCAGTCTGCTGGTACAGAAAGGGACAGCTCGAGCAAAACTCTGCAGCAGGGGGAACTCCAGTACATGATGGGGCACCAGGATGACACAGAAGTCTCTGTCCTGAAAAAGATTTGCAGGCAATAAAGAGAGGCTCTTGATGATCTGTGTAAGCTTCACACAAATCCCCCTGACTAGAACAGACAGACAACGCTGATCATGGGGTTTACACTGCACTGCACCCCAGGCACTGCTCTGCCTGGACAGCACAACAGAACTGATGGGTTTAGCCCCTATGGTAAAGATTCTTTAGCTGATATCCTGATGTTCCCTAGCAGTCCCCTTTTTCCATTCTCCCTTCCTCCCCCACTCTTTTCTTCCTCAGTAGAATATTTCAGCTGGAAGGGACTTACAATGATCCTCTAGTCCAACTGCCTAGCAGGAACACTATCTCCCTCACCACACCTTGAAGGGCTTATCTTTTCCCTTAAAAGGTCCTTTTTTCTACCTTACTTTCCTTCTGCAGCACAACCTCAGGACGATGTGTGTCTGCCTGGGATCCCTTACAGCCGAGTGAGACCATGGACAAGTGCAGCACATCCTACAGTCCTGCACAGCCACTGTGCAGGCACAGCAGGCTATGAACACAAGTGTGTATGAGCACAGCCACGCCCAGCCTGTCCCAGAGTTGTCACTGCTGGTGTCCGTATGCACACACAGACACTGTATTGGCAGTCCATGCAATTGTCCAGGGACCTGTGCTGTAAAGGCTGCAGAGGTGCAAAGCAATACAGAAGTCTCCATCAAATGCTCTCTGAGGAAGAAGAGTATCCTTAAATCTGCCTGCCACAAATAACTATCCATTACTGCTCAAGTGCTCCCTTTCACCAGTGTCAGAATTCCCAGCGCCACTGTTCAGTCCATAGGCAAATACTATGGAGCTCCCTAATACCACTTGTATAGGCTTTAACTCCACCTAATACATTTTTCCTGATTTTACTTTTAATTTAGGTACACTCTGGATCTATACATGTTTTTAAAGGAGTTTGAAGCATCTCCTTTCTAAATTGGTATCTATGAGAGGGCCCTACAGAACAGACTAGGAAAACTATTTATAAGGACATGGAGAGACAGGACAAGGATGAATGGCTTCAAACTGACAGAGTAGGCTTAAATCAGATATTCAGAAAAAATTCTCAGCTGTGAGGGTGGGGAGGCCCTGGCACAGGTTGCCCAGAGAAGCTGTGGCTGCCCCATCCGTGGAAGTGTCTAAGGTCACACTGGACAGGGCTTGGAACAACCTGGGCTAGTGAAAAGTGTCCCTGCCCATGGCAGGGGTGTGGAAAGAGATGCCCTTTAAGGTCTTTTGCAAACCAAACCATTTTGGGATTCTATGATAGACAAAGGACTTTGGTATGCAATCCATGAAGTCCAGAAGTAGTCAAGGAGAGGAGTAACTCAGGCCAGGGTAAGCAGGCACAGCACACTCCTGTGGGCACTGACTCCCTTGAGCAGCAGACCCAAACCCTCTGGCTGCCAACCGCACTGTTGTCCCACCACCCACACACACAAGCCTTAGAACTTTCATTATACTCACTGGGAAAACCTCAAAAGCATACTGCAAAAAATCCAGTGACCTGCAACCAAGAGCAGACATTGGTAAATAAAGCACAGATCAGTCAGAGTCTACACATTGTGATATTTACAGCCCTGTAAGTGCAGGAACATTTATTCACAGCTAATCAGACAGTCCTGATAGATCATCAATAAGCAACCACTGACATGCATGCTGCACAGCAATTTCTGACTTCTAGCACTTAAAGCACCGCTATTAACAACAATAACCAGAGGGTTTGACATAATACCAAAACAAGAGGCTCTTCACTGAAAGGGGGAAATAAAACCCAAACCAACACCGGCTCTCATCCTGTTGACTCCAAGTTTTTAGAAGCCATTCATGGACTGTCACAGCAGCATTAGTATATAGCAGACATTGAGGTTACAACAGCAGTTGTTCTATTCCACAATAGCCAGAGTAGCAAGAGCTCTGTGACTTTCCACTCCGGAAAACCTGTCAGATGTGCTTTAGCAGACTAACAGGAACATCAATACTTTGAATTGTTTTTGAACACTTCTTTCCACTTCTCACCTACTGACTTAGAGCAATCCCACTCTCTTCTCCATGGTGACAGCAAATGGTGACATCTCAGTCTGAAACTGTACAAGAGTGAGAAACTAGCAAATCCTTCCTGTTTCTCCCATGTATAAGGATAAAGAGCTCTAAGCCCAAAGTTAAGACGAAGCTTTATAAAAGTTTTCCATTGTGTAAAATGTTTTGAAGAAGTTCAGTATAGAGATGTTACTTAAAACCACTGATAAATCCCTTCCCCAAGACCTATAATTAAGTTCCCTTTAACTACCTCAATAATCTAACTGAAAAGAGAAGTTTCTAATTACAACATCTATATCTGAATGAAAACTTACAACCAAGATATAAGTACAGATCAGGATTGGGGTATTATATATTCACCCATATAATACATCTTTAAAACTAGTTAATAGAATAGCTAAGCAGGGGAAAGGGAAATGCCACTGCAAGGTAGTTTTCTCTCTCTGGTATCCAGTACCTTCTTGGTAGCAAGGACCACGAGAATAGAGGTGTAAGACTTTTCAGGGGGCTTAGAAAGGTATTGAATGTCTGCAGATAAACCAGCAGTTCAGTTCATTGCATTTCACTCTCAGTGCACTAACAAAGTGCACATAACACCTCCGGATTTAGAAGATGGAAAGTTTAGTAGCTTTACTGGGTAACGATTCCCCAGGAGCAAACTTCCCTCAGGGCTAAGATGCCACCACACCTACACTTGAACCATGCTCTGCAGGGCCAGCAGGAGAAACCTTGGGACAAGATTCCAAGCTGTAGTCAGGATTACTTCCTGCCCTCTTAAACACATATTTGCTTTGCTAATGTTTCTTGTACAAGCAGAAGGACCAAGCAGATGCAAGCCAGGGAAGCATACAAGCGAAATATTTGAAAACAGATCTACAGATTCCTCAGCTGTGAGGAAACAATCTTGCAAGACCTAATCTTAGGAGAAGTGCTCAGACAGGAATGTTATCTTCTCTAGATACCCATCCTGGAATCCACACTGTTCCAGAGATGTCTCCAGGGAAAAGAGACTGGGATCACAGCACTGGATGATAAATGCAGTGAGAACAGAAACAATGGTAGATACAAAGTACAGAGGGTCAAAAGGGAGCAAAAAATCTGCCTTTATATGATCTCTAAAAAGACCACGGCTCATTTATGATCAGAAAGAGACAAAGTTCCTGAAGAAGCTTCTGTTGATGTGATTGAATATAGGTTTGCTTTCCAAGTGTACAGAGAAATTCAGGAAATAAGCATTTATACCCCTTTTCCAGCTCTGTTCAAATCCACCAGGATCTAAGAGTCCATGGACAGCATCAATTATCTTAAAAGAAAAACCCTTTATCCCCCACTGTAGTGGATCCTAGAATATGGAATCAGTTCCTCTCAGTAATGGGAGACTGAGTGTTTAGAATGACTTGTAGAGCTAAAACCAGCTCTATTGCCCCACCCAGGGAGATGACTAGTACTGTGACCTTTGGCTCCCCTCACAGCTAGTCAGCTTTGGAATTAGTGTTTCTTCAGGGAAGAAGACACCTTCTTCCGTAACTTCAACTAACATTTTTTTCCAACAAAAATTGAATCCCTCACTTTTTGTCCCCACAGGCCTATCAGAGATGAGAAGTTGCAGCTGGAGGTTGAAAAGTTACTACTGAAAGTAAAAGAAACAGGAAAAAAAGGGGTCAGAAAAACTCCCACCTAACTGCAGCAGGTGCTGTTGCTTCCTGATTTGTTCTAAAAATGTAACCTGGCAAATGGTTATCAGTGGGGTAACAAGTTATTCATGCTCACCTGGTTTCATAAGCCTCATCAATACATAACAGACGGATACAGAAGGCATTTGGAGCTCCTCTGTACACTGGACGAAAATCTCCTTCCTCCTCAGTCTCAAAGGGACATGTCTCTGAGGCGTTAAAATCTGTGGTGCTGCCATCATCCAGTGGCAGCTCAGTCTGGGAAACAGTCATGGCCTCATCTTCCTGCAACAGGAACAAAACAGAATTACTTACAACATTTCAGAAAGTATTTCTGTCAGTTAAGGCCCCCGTGCTGTCTCTCCTCTCAGGGACCCCTCTAGTCCCACCCCTATGCTGCCTGACTGCTTAGGAGCAACTGGATGGGAAAGTTCACCCAACCACTAACTCTGCCCATCTCCCTCCAGACCCCAGCCAGAGCAGATTCTGATCCACGTTCCACAGCAGGCACACGTGTGGGCCCATGCAGGGGCCAGGAAATCAGTAGTGCTGCTTGTCCTCATCTCTGCCAGCCTTGCTCTGTGTCAGCTCCAGGAAGGATTAGCACTGCTGGGCACAGCAACATCACCTGCACAGCTGCATCTTGACCAGGAATACAGTCCAAGTCCCCACACGAAACAGGCTCTGGTTTCTGACCTGTTTGGTTGCTTTCATCTTCACCTGAGTAAAGAAAAAGAGACAAAGTGCATAAGGCTTAATAAAGTGACTTTAACCCTCAGAACCACAGCAATAGCTGGAACAGGCAAGGCTACCTCTATCAAGAGATATATTTTGATTAACCACAGTTAATACAGACCCTCCTATAGCTACTTGCCTGGAACTTCATTAGACCGTTCAATTTCTAAGTAAAAAAAACCCCAAGGGGATTAGTTGTAAAATAAGACCTGAACAAGACAGTTTTGAAGTAGTTCTTAAATCATACATTACACATCAAATTTTTACCCCATCTGAGCTGAAATAACAGGAGTCAGTGTACTGATTGGTCTCTTAAACCCCACACCTTCACTACCTTGTTTCCTCATGACCACAAGGACAAGCAAAGGTTCTTCATTCTCCAATTAGTTCCCCTAAAAGAAGTGAATTTCAGATTAAGACCTGGTCAAGCCAGAACTCTTACTGGTGCAAAGAGGGACAAGACAAAGGGACTTAAGTTTGCTTCTCAGTTGCTAAGCCTAATCAGTCCTTTAAGTCCTGTTTTACTTCTTGTAGAAGTTGTTGCTCTTTGTCTATTTCCTTCTTTTCCTCCAAGAACTTCTCTCCTGTGCCACTCTCCTTGCATGCTGAAGGAACTGCTTGAAAGCACTTGGAGAGCCATTGCAATTTTGTGTATGTATATGATCATTTCGCCAAAAACAGACACCTACTTGAGACACACAGGAACTCCCACAGGAGTAAAGACCCCAGGCTTTGGTAAGCTTGTAGACATCAGCAATGTGAAAAGGAATCAAAATGATGCACAAGAAGTCACACAGTCCAGAGCAAGTAGTTCCCAAGCCCCTCTGTTGAAGGATTATGTCTCTACAGTAAGTGTGAAGGGACGGTATCCAGAACAAGAAATCATCTGATAAAGCATCCTAAAGGCCACATTTAATGTTATGGACCAAAATTACTTTAATCATCAACTTGGAAAAGAAATACTGAAATAGCAGGGAACCCTACATATTGCTCCAAATACCCACCAAAGTTATCAAAGCCAAGGGTCAGCTGTTGTCTTTTCAGTCCCTGAACCTACCAGTAGCAGTTCTGCCATTCCTTAAGTTGCCACCTCATTAGTTTTACTGATACATTCACAGTTTGGTTTTATATTTAAGAATAAAGCCTGCTAATAAGTTTTAAATAATAAGCTCTTGAGGTGTAGGTATCACTGCTGCAGAAAACACACCAGGCAAGGACATCCTCACATTTGAAAGATCCAAGAACACCAGTCAGTTTCTGTGCTCCAGGAAGAACAAAAAAAGTCTTCAGAAAACAGAATTCTTCACTCCTCTCTCTGAACTTTGCCTTGGGACACCCACCTCAGCTACATTGACAGACAATCATTTCTGCATACAGTAATGGGCACCTTTCTTCTTTTTTTTTTTAAAGTACCTCAAAGGCTTAAAATAATTTAGCAAAAAGCATTTATAAAAAAAATTCTGTTATCTGAAAGTTTGTTTCTGTCAATAAAAAGGAGTGCAGATGCAACATGCAGGGCAAGGAGCAACACGGTGGGGGGTAGGAGCCATGGATTCTCTGGGGTATCACAGATGTGAGCCTTCACAGAAATTATCAAATGTCATCTTGATTAACCAGCTCCATTTCTCATTACAAACAGCCTTGCAGGTGTCAGAAGTTAATTAATACAAGTCTCTTGTTGTCATGTAAATATTGATATGTTATTTCTGACTTTATACTAAAATGCAAATCTTGAATGGCTCCAGCATCCACTCCTGTCAGACACGGCTGCATCGCTGTTTGCACACACACTGCACACGAGTGTCTGGGAAGAGCAGCAATGCTGTCACACGAAATTCAGTAAGGACCACAAACAAAGAGAAAATTAAAATAATCCTGTGATTGCTGGGCTGTTAGCTGACGTACAGTCAGCAGGATCAAGAAGTCAGTTCACCATGAGGCCTGATGAAAAGCCCTTGAATCATTCGCACTGCATCGTGTTTTCAGCAACTAATTCATGATGCCATATAGAGTAACAACCAAATTACTGTAATTACCCTGAAACCTAAGTGGCATATCAGTACAGACGGCTGTATACTCTTCCATTATTATTCAGTATTACATTCTGAAAGGAAAAATAATATCAACCTGCGGTCTCTACTTAAAAGCTAAAGAGCTTGAAAAAAATATCCTTTTTAAATGTGGAAACATAAAAATTACTCTACAAAGGAACGCAGCTTGCATTTAAAATTCCCAGCTTTGGATTCAACAAAGCAAAGTCCAGATCCTCTACGGATGTCAGGTCAGTGAACCTCCACTGCCTTCACAGCAGGGGACAATCTGGCAGCGAGTTTTCAATGCAGTGTCCTGCAGAAACACTGCACTCACCAAAACAGCTTCATGGAATCAGCCGTGGATTTGCAACACCAACAAACTGTACAGAACTGACACTGTAACAAACGCCAAAGACACAAACCAGCCCTTGTGTCGGAAAGGCTTAACAATGGACTGCTGGGATGCAATTCTTCTGTGGCTCTGCAGTTACAGAAAAACCCAACCCACTCCAAACAAGACAATTTCATTGAAGGTGTAATTTGAAAAGAGAATTAAGAAGTCAGAGGAAGGGAATGGTGCTTATTAGTTGGTCAGTATTTTTTTTACAGTAAACTTAATTATTAAAATAGGGGACTTTTTCTTTCCATTCTTAATTTAAAAATAAAAAAAAATTACCATTTTTCCAGAGAGTGTTCATGAATGAATACTGAAATGAATTTTAAGTCACAGGTCATGCAATAATGAAACCTAGATCAGAGGTAAAGAGTTCAGGCTGCTTGAAAAATACAGACTTCGTTTATAGCCATAAATCAAACAGGTAACAAGCAGCAAAAACAAAAGCTGCTTATCTAAAATAATGGTCAGTCTTTGCGAGCGAAGATCCGGGGAAGGTCTTTACACCTTCCAGCCTGAGCATTGGATTTTTTAGGTGAGACACAGTGTGCGCGGAACTGAGCCCACCCTTTAATCCTAAGGTTCATCTGCCGGGGCCAAGCGAGCTTGGACGGTGGCAGCGAGGTCCTCAGGACATAGATGGGTTGCCTTTAAGGGCTAAGGAGCTCCACCTGCCCGGGAGTGGCCCTGACTGGGAATCGAACAATCACTTTAATTACCATTCGGTGATAACAGAATTAATGTTCCTGAGCAGTATACAGAAAATTTTACTATTAAATTTCTACTTGATCTCTCCAGGAATAGCACCAGAGCCAGGCTCTCAGCTTATGATATTCAAGTTGCTTCCCAGGTGTCTGAGATCATTAACGATTTGAACTCAAGCTACTTTAAAGTCTACAAGTAATTCTTTTTCCCCAGAGCTACTCTTGTCATCCCAAATAAAGGGGTCTTACCTGAAGGCAATCCACAGCATTGTAAACTAACATCATTCATCAAAACTAACCTAGTTTTTAAATGGAGAGGAAAAAGAGACAGACACACAGGACTGCTAACCATGCTGCTTAAGAAATTCCTGAAAAAACACTCAGATGGCAGTCACAAGAACCTGGACACAACAACTGCTCATGCTAAGTTCTTGCAGTTAGAACAGGTCTCATAGATTTCCTAAACAAAAAGCATAACAGCTGTATTGTTAAACCTGTAACCACATACTCAGTGAAGAGCTCAGCAGCACAGAATTTGCTGCAGAACACAGGCTATGGTTTGCAGTCCCTGGAGAAGGAAAGTAGACACCAGGAACAGCCACAGGATGGGTCAGGCTGGGAGGGAGCCCTGGGCTCACCTTGCCCAAGCCCCCTGCTCCAGCAGGGTCACCCAGAGCAGGCAGCCCAGCATGGGGCTCCAGCTCACAAGTGATCTCTGTTCCTCCTCAGTCTCATTTCTGTTCCTATATCTGTCACCTCTCCTGAGCTAATACTCCTTAAGTTGCAGGAGAACAGGATGGTACAGGAGGAGGCAGGCAGCTTCCTCCATCCCCTATGTGCATGATGCTTCTTTGCAAGGGAGGGGAAGTCCACAGGAGCAGCTTCAAGACCTTCCCTCTCCCTTTTCTGTTCCATGACTGCCAGCTCTGAGATACCAGCTGGCAACAGCCTTGCAGGTCCCTGGTTGCCTTTTTTTGCCTGCTGTTCTGTGTTCAGTTAAGCAGATACATAACCTAATGGTGGGGGTTTTTTATTCCATTACTGATAATTAGTAGGCAGCAAAACATTGCCCTTCTGCACAAAAAGCCCTTTAACACTGAAAAATAAAGATGACAACTGTAAATCATTTACATGACACTTCTGCTGTACAAACAGGTGACATAGGCATGGTTTTTATCACTTGCAGTAAGGTGGCTGTAGATGTGTTGCTGTATATAAGAGTGGAATCAAGAGACAGTCCCTGATCTCCCAAAAATCTTGTAACCCTGGAGACTGCCAACAATAAGCAAAGACAGCAGAAGCTGAACCACAAGGAAATAAGACAATGTGAGTCAAGAGGACAACATACCAGTCATGGTTAACCAGCCGTTCAGCTGCTGACAGACAACACACCACCAGACTTCAAAATGTGATCTTCATTTAACAGCACAACTGTATCTACAGGCTGGCTCCCCACAAACAACAATTGCTCCTGAGTCCAAGATCAGTTATCAAAATTCCCCTCTTGAATTAAAAAACCCCAGGCAACCTGCTCCAAGACAGAGAGGGGAATTTGTGTTTTCTTGTTAGTAAACCTATACCCTTTTCTGACCTCCTGCACAGCCTGCTCAGAAGCTAGACACTAACACACCTTGAATCTATCTAGACTTTAGAATACAGATACCTTCTTGAACACTTGGCTTCCGTGGCACTTGGAGAACATCTTCAGCATGTTGTTTACAGAGTCCATGGAAAGGCCCTAAGTCAAAACACTCTTGAAACAAGGAAACATTCACTTGAGAACATAAGCTCATGAATCCTACTGCAGTACCATCAACCTGAAATATAAGAGCCACATCACAAGTGAATCTGATTTTAGGTCAAGACCAAAAAAAATTGAACAAAAAACTTGTGAAATAAAAGCTAGCATTCCATCTCTGACTGTGCATAACGAAAAAGTGTAAAGGAACTATTTCTGCAAAACCTAAAGATGCTCTTATTTTTCCTTGTCACGTATGTATTAGGACCTCTGAAGATTTCTAAGTCATCTGTTAGCTATGGCTTGCAAGAGCATTAGGTTTATATACATATGGACCAAACAGTGACCTATTGTTTTAGTAAAACCTTTGTTACAGTAAATAAAAAATATACTCTGAAAAGGCATCATTTGGCTTTAAGTTAGAGCAAGCTGAACTAAAAGCTGGATGCAGCTAGCTGTAATGGGTGACTCCTTTCTGGACACTGCTTTCTAGCTAAGATGGTGCACAAACTGAAAAGCATATTTCATTATCCTGTAAGGTTATTCGTTCAAGAAAGCAATTCTATATTATATAAATGGTACCTACTACAGTACATGGTGTGTATTATTTGTAGCAATTACAAGTGCTAAATATTTTGGAGTTCTGAAAGGTTCCAAGAGCTGGTCTCCAAAACAAACTGCTCTGGCAAATGTGAAAGTGGCAGAACCCCTGCAGTGCTGAAAGCCGCAGTGCTCCGGGTGTCTGACTGGAGTTCCCAGCAGGTTGCAGTGCTCAGCAAGACCCTCTGAGCAGGGAGAACTGGCCTGCTGGAGGGTTTCTGGGTTTGAGTTAACACGAGCCTAGAAGGAAGCTCTTCAATTTTTAGTACTGTACACAGTTATCTGGTGAAACACACATAACCAAAATATATTTTCTTTCCACCTTAATGCACATAATGAAAGCCTTTATAAACCTAATGAAAATTCAAAGGCTGCTTTTGTAGAGCTGTTTTATCAGGCCATCAGCACTCCAATAAAGACCTAAAAAAGTATGACTTTAATTTTTCTGCCCTCAAACAACAAGTGATTGTTTGTTTGCCTTGTTTGTGTAACCGACAAAGCTGGGGCACCACAGTTGCCTGGCTGCTATGTAATTTCAGGCCCAAGGCTCAGCAGAGGCTGATTAACCAATCCATCTACCATATGTGCAAAAGGAGGCTGCCAGCTTCATTCTCCACAGGGAAAATTGGCATCCATCGTGGTTTGCATGGAGGCGCCTTCCCAATCTGTGGTAGCAGCGAGGACAAACTCTGAGGGCCTGAAACACCTTGTGCTGGTCTCACACGGAGCTCTGAACATGCAACTGAAATGTATTATTTATAGCAATAGCCCTTTGCAATGTGCCATTACACTAATGGTGTATTGTTTCCCATTTGGCTCCCAATGGCAGTGATTACATGTTGCAGCTTTATAAAACCATTTGCCACAGAAAACAGACTTCAGGAATTAAGGAGGTTATGTTGCCTATCACCTTGCAATACCATGCACAATTACTAACACAGTAAAATCTTGACAGGAATTTTTAGCAGGATAATTATTACCACCTCTGTCTTATTTAAATTAATTCCTTGGTTTCTGTCTTCAATTCAGCAAAAATCTGTGTGAGCCAGGAGATGGAAAAAACCTACAGCATTTTAAACTGTGAAAGGATTACTGGCTACTCATTTCCTCTGGGAGTGAAGACAGGTGACCTATAATGCAACTGTGGCAACATGGTTACTACATGAGGGTGAAGTGGTCCCAACTGCTTAAAAGGATCTACATAAGAATGAGGAATTGCTACTTCGTTTCTGAACTGGAGGTATCACTGCTAAAGACAGACACCAACTACACTGCAAAGGGCACCATGTGGGTGCACATCATCCACCTTTCACAGGTGAGCTGCTGATTCCATTCCCTGAGCTAGAATGAGCTGCCACTCATGACATCACTAACATCAGAGAAAACCAGAGCTCATGGCAGACTGACCTCACAAACAGCTGCCTTATTTTCTTCATCTTGATGTTCCATGAGGTCAACAAGGAGATATTCACCAAAGGTCTTTTTCAAAGTCTTACTTTGACGTGTCCAGATTGGCATGAGATCATCATAATCTTCCAACCTACAAAAAAAGAGATTAGGTCATGTCCTACAGTTCTGCCATTAATAGGTTCTGATGCTTCTCTTCTACTCCATTAACATATAGAGAAATATTATAAATACCTGTTCCAAGGCCTGCACCCACAAGTAATTTCACCTAAGACACATCCCCAAAGCACACTAAAGTGGGAGTCTCAGCACCAGAGGAGAAACAGAACCACTCCCAAGAGGCAGCACAACCCAACTAAGACTTGGATTGCCCAATGCAGACACTTTTCTTTCCCTAACAAAATACAAGGGAAGCTCAGTTCAAAGTTCTCCTGCCTAAGGCATCTCAGCCCAGGGCTTTAGGCCTCATTTAAAATAATTATATTCACTAAGCCCAATTATCAGGTGGTTAGATTTGGCAGAGATGTCAAAAAGCTACATTAGTGTAATTTAGAAAATCCATTCTCAAAAACACCAAGGAAGAAAACAGTGCCTTGGTGTACAGGAACACAGTGCTGAGCAGCGGTTTGATGATTTATTACCCACAGCAGTGCCAAGTCACCCAGCACACAGAGCCACTGTGCTTTTGTAAGGTCAAATTAAAGCTCCACCACTGAAAGAGACAGAAAGGCTGAAGTGCCATTCCCACATCCCTCTGCCTCAGGAAAGGCTGAGGAGGTGGGCACCTGCCAGCCAGGCTTCACCTGCTCTGCTGCTCCAGCCTGCTCTCCCTGACAGCATCTGGCTGCCCCAAGGTGTGGTGGTACCCTCACACAGACCCCCAAACTGCACACATTTTTAGTTAAACAGTCACAGACTCTTTCCCATTAAACTGCTATTCCTAGCTGGGGCCAATGTAAGTCTGAAGAAGTCACAGTGCTTTTCCCAAAGCAGTGACAATTCATCAGTCACACACCCTGGGACCACGGCATGAAGGCTAACGGCAAACCAGCTCCAACACAGAACTGCTGTCAACAACACGAAGCCACCTGTATGCACCTCTCAGAAAAACACTGGAATTAAGTGGTGCAACCAACAGATCTGCATCAGAAGCAGCATCCGTGGAATGCAGCCGGGATGGCTCCCCGGACGCTCCGGCCAGCCCGTCCCGGCCGCGGGTCCCCGCGGTCTCTGCCGCCCCCGCGCGGCCCGGCCAGGCGCTCCGTCACCGGGCTGGGAGCGGCTACCGGCGCGTCCCTCGCTTGGTAGGGAAGCGCAAACCTCCTCCTGCAGCGAGAAACAGGGAACGGCTACCGGCGCTTCCCTCGTGTTTTGCTCCAGGCTCCCAGTGCCCACGGAAGGAAGTGCCTGTATCCAAACACCTGTAACTTGGAGATCATCGTTCCACACAGCAACCCAGAAACACTGAATAAACAGATTCTCACTGCCACTTTATACATTTAGGGATTTAGAAGGAGCCTTAAAGTTCACATAAGTGGGCAAAAAAGATTCTGTTTCTCATTGTATCAAACAGGGTCTGAATTCCCAGGCATTGCCTGACTCCAGTGCAGAATGCAAGGATAATTCATGTGCTCTCTGGATAGTTTTGCTGCTCCTACACACCAGAATGGACGTGACCTCTGAGTAAGATCAGAACTCCACTACTGCAACACAAATAATTAGTAGAGCAAATCTGCTGATGAGGTATCAAACTTCAAAAACCTAAACTAATGTAGGGATAACGGTATCTGTTTGCGGGGTGGATAATAGACACACAAGTCCTGTAAATGGAACACTGTGCCTAGTGCTCCAAGTCCCCACATGGCATTCTACTCCACACAGCATGAGGAGACACTCCAAGGTGCAGATGGCAATTCCTAGAGACTGACCACATGACAGCCAGTGGGGCTCCACATAAGCCCACTCCTCTCCCTGCACATTAACTGTAGAAGCACAACTGTTTTCATTTTTTTCTTATTTTTTAATATCTTTCACCAGTACCACAGTCTTAAAAAAAGCTAGAAAAACCCTCTGAAAATCAGTAGCTTACCAACATAAAGTACAGAAAAACTCTACTGCGAGCACAAGAAATGAGCTGCAAATCTGTGACTCACACAGGGTACAAACCCAAGAATGACAGGATATCAGCGAGGACCTTAAATATCAAAGCTTAGTGCACTCAGTTCTGGTGCACACAACCGATCCATCTCACAGTATAAAAGCCAGATGCAGAGAGTAACTCCAAAACCGATGGTTAAGCAAAGTATCACTTTACAACTGCTTCCCCCCCCCCTCTTCATAAGTAAGGGAAGAGGGAACAGATTACCCTAATCTCCTCTCCCTCCCCCAGAACATGTTGCTAGGCAGGTGGCTGGGGACAACTCTCTCAGATGAGTCTCCAAGGGCTCCACTGGCTGTTACTATGGATGCCAGCCAAGCACAGAGGTGAATGCAGAGGGAAAGGAAAGGCAAAGCATATTCTGCAAACAGAAATTAGCTTACCCAGAAGCTACTGATGGACAAATACTGAAGTATGAATATCACCAGCCACTGGTGTAATTTAAGAGGAAAAACAGTTTTCTACATAGTTTTCCGATAAAAAAAAAACCTAAAGTAGTTCAGTATTTGTAACAAACTACAGAAATGCCAGAAAAGATGGCATCTCTAATCAGGAATATTGGTATAGCCTAAGTAACAGTTTCAGTCATGTAAAAGTCACATTCCATTGACAATATCCAATGGCCATTAAAAGAAAATACAATTTAAACAAATATAGTTGGAATCAAGACATACAGAAAGGTTTTAAACCCCTAGGAATTAATTCCCCTACTGATACATTCTGAGTATTGAGATCCACTCACTGATTGGTGTTGGACAATTCAAAGGAAGCACTCAGAAACCTGACAGCTGTACAGTGTTAGAGAGCACAAAAAGCTTTGTAACACAGACATGTCCAAAGTTACAGCAGGATGCTGCTAAGTGACAAAGGTCAGGCTTTTTTCTTAAACTACTCAGAAGTCAAGCAACAGGATATCATGAGCATGGACTTAAACTATAGCATATATCAACTAGAGGAGCACAAGCTGCAGGTTTCCTCAGAACCATTTCATAAAGTTAGATATGTGCAATAAGACATCTGACGTGTTTGTCAGAACCCAGCCTAAGCTGGCAGCATGAACCAGCCCATAAACAAACAGGTGTGGCTTTACCAGGCAGAGATATGAGCTATGCCCAGTGTGGGATTACCAGTACTGACCACTCCCCACATCCACGCGTGATAGTGCCCCAGCAATGCACTTGTCCCTGGGCTTCACTTCCCATACAGGCACCAGAAATGCTCATTTAATCACAACTCTGCTACATAGCCACAAAGCAACACCTACATTTAAGTACAGAGCAATTCCACAGAAAAAAACCTGGAAGAGGGTTACTCTTCATGTCTAAATGACTACTGGAACTAGGGTTTCTCTGCTCTTATTTAACTCTTTCAGATAACAGGTCTTCCTATCAGGCTTTGTTCAACTCTTCAGCATATAGTATAAGAGAAAATTAAAATCAAAAGTAAGTTGGAAGAGGCTTCAAGAAACCTGAAAACTGCATGCACTGCATCTCCAGCTCATCACAGAATCAACATCACCAAAAAAATGTTCTTTCTACACAGCAAACTAGTTTTACAAGAAGTACAACCGATCTTGCGATGAAGTAGAACAAAAGCAGCGTAGTCCTAGAAGTCCTTAGGCTGACAGGAAACCACAGCAGCTGAAGCAGGAGAGAACACTCATCTCACACAGCAGTGGCATTACCTCGCCTGGCGCACGTGCAGCCGTGGGTGGCACCGGTGCCTGGGGCACATGAGCAGGGTAAACTTTCTACCCTCCACCGATCCTGGAGCGGGAGGCATCACTGCAAAGACACCCCTCATGCCTGGCTCTGTGAATGACAAACAGTCGCCAGAGGCAGAGAAAATTCATTATGCAAGCTTTAAAAGTCATCAGCAGAACGGTTTGAGCAAACAGTTTCAAACTTTAGGCTTGGAGTATTTTGCTATCTGCGGTTTAAGCAAGCAATGGGACTAAGGACAGCACTATAAACATGTGAGAGAATTGTCAATGGAGTCATCTAATTAATCCAGCATTCCAAACCTGAAGAACCTTCAGAGCAATCAAATTGGTAGAATTAAATCCCTATGAAAATACTATTATTTAGTTCACAAAACTTGCAGGAATTGATCTCAATCCTGTTTGATGTCCTGCCTGTTTGGGGCAAATTTAAAGACTGCAGGAAATGGACAGACTGCTGAATGGCTGCTGGAGTGAGCACAGAACCACCGATACCTCCTGCACAAGGGATCCTCACAGGAGGATACTTTCAGACTGTGTTTTCCACAGGGTTAGAAAGTGTTCTCAATATCAAAAAAAAAAAAAAAGAACAACAAAAAACACAAACACCAATAAACACCAATAAAAAAACCAAAACCAGAAACCAAAACCAAACAAACAAACAAAAAACCCCACAAAACTCAGTGTCTATTAGTGAGATTGTAATAAATTCCTACCTAAATTTTCCTCAGCTGGTATGAAGAGAAGGATGAACTGCAGTTCTGGTAGTAAGATGAAAGCTCTCCTGGACAAATGACAAATTTATTCAGTCTTTCATCATTACACCTATCAGTAACAGACAGCAGTTAGTCTTTTAATATACATCTTTTTTTCTCTCCAATGTCTTTAATCTTCCTTCATGAGTCCACATGGCTCAAAAATTAAAACATTTCTGACAAATAAGATCAAATAAAGTTCATCTGGGCATTTTTTACTGGTTTTTTTTCCTACCTTACTTCTCTCTAATTTCCTAATCCTTAGATTTCAACTATCTTCCTTTTTATATCAGTTCCCCAGTGGTGGACTATTAAAGATGCCAGAGCTCTGCTAGCAGATCTGACCTGGCATCTGGATGAGCTGACCTGATGTGACAAACTGTCAATTCAACAGCAGCACCAAGTGCAGCTCACTGTTTATGCAGCAGACTCTGGGCTACACCAAATAACCCGAGCTAACACAGCAATACTTGTGCTGCCTGTACTGTAGTCTGCAGCCTCACCACCTCATCTGTAGCTAACAAACTAGCACTAAGTTACCTGGGAACACGTGTATCCCATAAACATCTACAGCTTTCTAAGCTTCCTGCTCACTCACATGCTTTGGTTTTTACAAGTGGAAGTGTAGGAAAAAGAAAAATCAATCCACCTTGCAAGTGCAGTATTATTTCCATGGGAAATGCCAGCAAAGCTACAGCTAAACCTGAACAGGGTATGAGAGGTGAGCTCAGAACTGCCACAGCTTGGTTTCTGAGCCACTGTGCACTGATTAATACAAGGTGATGTATTAGAGCTTCTGAGACTTCAGAGGTGTTCCATTTAGATACACTGCAAACCTTAAGGCACTTGTAAATTCCACAGCCTCTCCAAGTGATGGCAGGAGCGCACCTGCTTCACCACACAGTTCCCTGGGAACTCACCTCACAGTTTCCTGGGAAGATCCAGCTGAGTATTCTTCCTTTGCCACAAAGATATGCATGAACAGTGTGTTCAAAGGCTACAAGACAAGGAATGGAAGTCTACACCATGCAGCTAATATTCATTACATCAACCCACGTATTAATAAACATTTTTATTTCCAGTATATATGATCCGCACTCAAAGTGAGCAGTGTCATGAAATAACTTCAAAGTATGCATGGATAAAGTTATGTGATATTAAAAGTACTTTTAATAATTTTGTGCTTCTGCAACATTTTTACTTCACACTCAGTTTACTATTACTTGACTGCAGTATGCAGTGGACATTTCATAATAAGCAGTATTAACTATAGACTAAAAACAAACCACAACAATTAGCAACTAAACATTTAACATTTGGTTGATAAAGACATTCTTTTTAGTTTTAAAAAACAAACACAAAGCTCACATACTTCTTGTAATTCTAAAATATTTTTAAGGTAGTAAGCAAAATTATAGATTTTTAAACTATATCATTAGACACATTTAAATACCCAGGCAGAAACAGGGAAGACTAACAGACACCTTTGTTCTACATGCCTCCAGTTAACCTGGAAAACCCCTGTGCTGGAGTGGCAAAGGTTATTAGTTCAGCTATTCTCCTGTGTATTAGTGTGTGCTGGGTCAGTGAAGGTCCACCTGTAGAAAAAATATTTCTACAAAGACCATTTTAAATGGCAAAACCTGAGGACTTCTGAATAGTTTACTATTCAACTAAAATGTCATGGCTAGAGTCACCAATAAACTTCAGCAACTTCAGAGCAAGAAAGATAAATAGAAGCTGCAGTACACAGACCAGCACAAAGACAACAGGTTATTGTAACAAACATCTAAAGCCATTCCTAAACATCAGGCCTTTTGTTTGTTTCTCAAAGGCAAAAGGAAGAAAAAATATTTTGTTGTTGAGGTCCAAGAGGAGGCCTAGGAAGCCAGACTTGGACTGTCACTGTTTCTGAATAGCACCGGTAACCAGACAGTCCTGCAAAGCATCTCCACTAATTCAATTCTGCACAAGTCAGTCCCCAGATTAGACCTTTCATCTATCTTATTTCTGTGCCCGAGGAAAAAAACTTGCCAGCTAGACTTTGCAGAAATCCTTTGTTCAGATGATCTCAGTTTTGTAAAGCACACCTGCAAGGATTTAACCTGCAGTTAGCCAACAATCTCACCAAGTTATACCCTAGAAAAGGTTCAATTGTTCTGCTAGTGCAGAAGGATAACAGACTGAATCTTCTGCACCTATCTTAGAAAGCAATCTCCATTCTAGCAAAGCAAGATTACCGCTCCCTGTCTGTGTTTCAAAAACATTTCCCCCCTGTTTACTCAGGAGCAGTAATTTATTTTTCTGTCTTCTCTCTCTGTGTGCCCCTGCACTTGCAGTCAGCTGCAGCTTTGCTGCACTGGATCATGTGTAACAGGCTGCCTGAGGCAGAGCCAACAGCACCCCCAGAGCAGCTGCACCCTGAATGAAGAGGCTGTGCCTGCACCTTGCCTGGCACAAAGTGCTGCTCAAGAGACAAAGAAAGCCCATTACAAGGAAATTTGGCATCTTTTTTCTATACTCCCTTGGGCTGCAGTGACTTTCTTTGAAGAGTACATAGCATTTTCAAACACAACTGCTCTGTCGCTTGATCTGCAAGCCATTGCTTACCATCTCAACACACTGGAGAACTGCTGAACTTTTCTAGGCATAACCACGGTACTGCCAACACCTTGTTGTGCCATGTGCTGCCTGCCTTTTAAGTGCTTGGGGTTCCAATTTCCCATATTTTCTCAGGATCTAGCTCCCAGCTAGACTGAACAATGGACAGCATTTGAATCCTAAACTTCTAAGGGCCTGTCTCCAACTCATAAGTCTTAGGAGAAATTCATCAGCTTGCCCGAGGAGGCTGTGTGAAAGCTGCCAGAGCAGAGAGCAGCAGTCTCCACAGCAGCACCGAGATGCCCACATCAACACAAGGGTTTCATACAGAATCAGATCACCACCTTTTGCAGCCTAAAGGCCTCAGGTCTACCAAAACCAGATCTTAAGTGCCCAGGAGTATTTTTCACACCTAAGTCTTATATGAAAATTAGAAGTCACACAATTGACTTACAGTGCACTTAAGGTTAGCGTAGTTTTTATGCAGGAATGGTTCCCAGTCAGCCTGATCAGTGATATTCCAATTTGGATAGTCCAGAAAGGCAGCATGGGCTATAATCTCATTCTTCTCATTGCAGAGGGTCAAAGCAAGATTTGATTTTTCTCTATGAAAACAATTGAATTTTGCAGAAGTTGAAGAAACTCTAAATAGAAAAGCATCTGACAGAATTCAGCCTGCTAGAACAGTAAAATTAGCCATGTTCAAAAGGGTTCCCAGAATCAGGCCTCAAAACCTCATCACGTACATCTTAACTTGACATTATTGCTTCAGTTCCACACAGAATGTTCCAACATAACACTTGACATGATTTTTCAGATCCTCAATCATAATGATTTTGAGATGCAAGACTTAAATGTTCCCTCCTCTCTGTATGTTTTTCAAACATTCACTTGTTCCCCAAATAGCTGTCACCCAAGATTTTTGCCACTAAGTAGGAAAAACCTAAAGTGACCCATAAGCACTTCCACAGACTGTCTGCTGTTCATCCCTGCACAGAAGGAGGAAGCACACAAGGTTCCAGGGATGGAGGTGGGGTAAATGTGTGACTACAATCCTCATCTCCTCTGAGGACATTGCTGTGCAAGCAGCCAGGAGACAGAGACCAAACCTTGGGTATCAGGGGCACAAAAAGAGGCAGCACACTCAAACATTTTACAGCAGGCAGACACTGCCTCCCACCACAGAATACAGAGGGGCAAAAGATAGCCCACTCCTGTGGGTAAGGGGAAAATGGAAGAGAAGTGATTGACATATGCAGGAACAGAAATTAAAAGAGTTATGGCCTCATAGCAATTAAAACTCTTCCACTTCTGTTCCTCCCCAACAGGCAAAAGCATTCTGAGAGATGGAGCAGACACCAGAATCTGAGGGTTTCACCAGGAGTTAGCCAACATTGTTTCCTCTGAATTTTTATAAAACACTAGTATAGTTAAATCACGTCCACCACACTGGCAGCAGTGACCCAGGTTTACCCAGTCATGCATGTGACAGAAGTATATTTTCTTTTGCTTTTCAAGAATAGCAAGAAAAAACAAACCAAAAGCAAACAAACAAAAAGCCACATGATACCACTGACATAGGTTCAGAATGTTTTCTGCCGTTTTAAATGTGACTTAACTGGCTGAAGTTTCATGCAAAAAAGGTAATATCCTAGAATACTATTACTTACAAAAGGAACATGACATCAACCCTTCCAAAAACACCTTCTGTACTGGTGCTGAAGAGGCTGATAATGTCCGGAACATCGTGTGATTCTGTCCTTCGTACACTGACCCCTCCTGTGTTTCTCCTTGAGGAGGTCATTGTGTCCATCTTACAGGCTGCAACAAGAGCAAACACCAACATTGCTGCTCTGGGCATCCCACTGCAATCCACTGATCAGAGTCACTTCAGACCGATTCCTATAAGCACTCCTACGTGGTGCAATTCCTATGGATTGAGGTGCCTGGTTCCTGTACACCACACAGATACATACTGCCTGCACATACACACAGCATGCAGGCAGGGTACACGTGGAAATGCAGCAGGCAATCATCCCTACTGCCTGGATCCTACACAGGAAATAAATGGTTTGGATAGGTTACACTTGCTTTTACACTTGATCACTTATGGGCACTCACATAGCAGCCATCAGAACAGTGCCTTCAGCCTGCAGGCTGGGACGCTCAGCTGGGGGCAATCGGGGTAACAATTAAACAACAGCTTCAGGTGACTTCATTGTCCAAAACTGCACCTCAAATCTCTTTTAAAGTCAATTGCAGTGCTTAAATTTCAAAAGAACTTGAAAGTTCTACGGCTTGCCTGCCCAGAAGAAAAGTTCTTTTGTGGTTCCACATTCACAGGTGCCAGGCATAAGATTGATTGATCTGGCCGGTAACTTCAGAACACACAGGTGCAGCAGATACTCAAACCACCTGCGACTATCCCCTCTGTTCTAACACCTTTCAGCTGTGTCTGCTCAATACTGCAGCCCACTGGGATACAATTAACAATTAGGTACGTGAAATAAAGTGACCAAACAATAGCTTTCTGCAGCTTCTAAAATATACATGTAAAATACAGCATCACTAACTCAAAGAAAAGTTTAAATAAGCAACGCACCAAGACCAGCAGAGCATTTTCACCAATCTGCTAAATACAAGAGCCGCTTCTAACAGTGGCTCCAAACCCAGGCATGATGCCCATTTATGAGGCACCACAGATCACATCTGAAACGGAGTAACGAAAGAAATCCTGACTTTCATACTTGAAGTACACAGAAAGTCACACGCACTGCTACATCTTCCACAGACAAACGAGACATTTAGGTGTCAGCACAGGTCCCAGTCACACCAATATACATTGGTAAAGACATTAGGAAACAACCTGAAGCAGGACATCCTCTGCAGATATGGTGCCAATTCCATATACAAAAACATGCCGGAGTTTTTTTAATTGTCATTAATGAACTGAAATGCAGCACTAAGATCATCTCAACTCAGGAAAACAGTTTGCCGCTTCACATATTAAGTCGTTTAACGCAATGCATTGAAAAAGATACCACCCCCTTCAACGCGAGCTCCCCCGAACACTCACGCAAGCCCTGAGTGACGGAAAGCATCACTTACACAGTAAAAAAGGCAGCATTTTCACGAGGAAACGCACTGTTCCCACAGCAGGTCCTGCACCGCCCCGCCCGCTCGGAGCAGCTCAGCCCGCCCCGCTCGGGCACCGCTCAGGCACCGGGGACACCCCTGCGCCCCGTTTCTGCTCTTTCTGCCTCAAAATGCACCGAACGCACACGCACCTGGGCCGGGCGAGCAGGGATGATCCTGGCAGACACGGGACGTCCGGCGGCTCCTGCGGGACACCCGCGATCCTCAGGGAGGGATGGGGCGCCCAGCCCCGGCTCCGGCAGGGAGCGGTCCCGCCCCCGGGACACGCCCGGCAGCGGGCGGGGCGAGCACCCGGTGGGTGCCGCGGGCGGGGCGAGCACCCGGTGGGTGCCGCGGGCGGGGCACGGACACCGGCACGGCCCCGCTCCGGGACCCCCTCAGGCTCGAGCGCTCCCCCTCAGGCGCGAGACCCCTCAGGCTCGAGCGCCCCCCGCTCAGGGCGCGAGACCCCCCCGCCCTGAGGCACGGGCACGGCGCGAGACCCTCCCGCCTTGGGGCACTCACGTGCCCCGTGCCCGGAGCGGACACACGGACAAACCGAGCCTGGGGACAGACGGAGCCACGGGCGGACCCGGGGCCCGCCCACCGCCCGGGACGCTCCGCCGGTTGCCGCGGCAACGACGCTCGGGCGGTGCTACGTGAGGTCGGGGGTTGCGGGGCGGGGCCCGCGCGCGGCGGCGGCGGTGGCAAGATGGCGTCTACGGCGGCCGGGAAGCAGCGCATCCCCAAAGTGGCGAAGGTGGGTGGGCAGCGGCACCCCCGGGCCCGCACCGAGCCCCCCGCCACCGCGCTGGGGGCACCGGCGTCCAGCCCGGCAAACACCGCGCCCGGCAAGGCGCCGGAGCGAACCGGCACCGGGGAACTTGGCGGGTCCGCGTAGGGAGATGTGAACCGAGCGCCCCTTCTGCTTACCTTGCAGGTGAAAAACAAAGCGCCCGCCGAGGTTCAGATCACAGCTGAGCAGCTTCTGAGAGAGGCCAAGGAGAGGGAACTCGAGCTTCTCCCGCCGCCTCCACAGCAGAAGATCACAGATGTTGAAGAGCTAAATGATTATAAACTCCGGAAAAGGAAGGTACGGTAAAAAAACCAAACCTGATCTCGACCCTTACGTAAAGCACTAAAACTCTACTATTTTTAACTTAGACAAGATGTAGTTTGTGTTCCTTGTGGACTTTCCAGACAAGTACCCATTCTTTAGATACCGTAGCTGCTTCATGCTGCTCATGTGCAGACCCTGTAAGTTAAACCTGTGTTAACATGGGATTCGGTAGCACACACCTCCTCTGTGCCCGCGTTTGGAACACCAAAAGGTTAGTTACATCCACGGCTTACAGGCACTCGCTGCACCAGAGCTGGCCGGGCAGCACGAGACAGCACCGAGCTTTCTACACTAATCGTGGTTCAGTTGGCTGCTTGAGTAAGATAGCTTAGATACGGGGCTGCAGGAATTCAGGTTTAGTCCTAATCTACAGTTCTACATTTCCAGCTCTGCCAAGCAGTTTTTGCAGTGCTGTATCCAGTACGATTTGTTACCACTCCTGCATAGGTGTAAGACACTGGGCGTTCATTCCTAGAATAATAACATCATAAGGCATCTATAATACTGGCCTGCAGAAGCATTTCTTACTCACAGATACAATTCTCTCCCCAGACTTTTGAAGACAACATAAGGAAGAACAGGACTGTCATCAGTAACTGGATCAAGTACGCGCAATGGGAGGAGAGCCTGAAGGAGATCCAGAGGTAACCAGGATGCGGCTGCAGGCGGTTCCTGTAAGCCTTTTGAGGCACACGTTGCCAAACACCCCAGCCCTGGGGGCACATACCTGCAGCATGCTCGTGTTTTGCAGGGCCCGGTCCATCTACGAGCGTGCCCTGGACGTGGACTACAGGAACGTCACGCTATGGCTCAAGTACGCCGAGATGGAGATGAAGAACCGCCAGGTCAACCACGCCCGCAACATCTGGGACCGTGCCATCACCACCCTGCCCAGGGTCAACCAGTTCTGGTACGTGGAGAGCCCAGAGCAGCTCTGCTGCCTCCAGAGGCTGCGCGTCATTTGTCTGCTCTGGGGCCAGAGTGCCTTGGTTCCTGCTCCTTCAGGTCTTCAGGCTAGTCTGAAAAAAAAAAAAAAAAAAATAGAGAAAGGCTGAAGTTTTGGAGTGGTTTTGTATTTAAGTGGCAAGAGCACTGGGGGAGAAGGATGTTCATGTGCTTGCTTGCTGCCAGTCACAACCGTGTCTATGGGCATTTCTGGGGTGGAGGGGGATAGATGAAGAAACCTCAGTGGTGCTCCTGCAAAGCGCTCCAGAAATCCTTGCATTGCTGTGTTCACTATGCAACTGTAGAGACTGTCTTCTTTCCCAAGGTACAAGTACACTTACATGGAAGAGATGCTGGGCAACGTTGCTGGGTCACGCCAGGTGTTTGAACGCTGGATGGAGTGGCAACCAGAAGAGCAAGCTTGGCATTCCTACATCAACTTCGAGCTGAGATACAAGGAGGTGGACAGGGCACGAAGCATTTATGAGAGATATATCCTTTTCTATGCCTCGGGACACTTGCCCAGGTTCAGGCCTGCCTGAAGTTATTCCATCTCTGGCAATATCTCTGTGCTCCTTTTCGCTGTGGGGTGCTGAGAATGAGCCACCACACCAAGAGCCAGCAGTAGGTATTAAGTGTTTGGGGAAAGCCATCAAATTCAGTGAAGTGGCTGTAGGTCCTACCACAACATGTATGTTTAATTTCACTCAGTACCCAGCTTTTCTTGCAGTCACTTGTTTCAGATTCCTCCTCAAACTTCTCCCTGCCCTTGATCTGATTTTTATCTCTCTTCAAGTTCTCAGTAAGGCACTGATCCTTCCCACGCTCAGAGCTCTTAAGTGTCCTGATTTTCTTGCATAAGCCCACCTGGGGAGCGGTTTGATGCAGTCCTTGGGCCTGCAGTCCCTGGGGAGAGCAGAGCTGGAGAGGGCCCGTTGAGCCAGCACCGTTTCCTTAGCCCAGCTGCACTTGTCCTCGTGCACCCCGACGTGAAGAACTGGATCAAGTACGCGCGCTTCGAGGAGAAGCACAGCTACTTCGCCCACGCCAGGAAGGTGTACGAGCGGGCCGTGGAGTTCTTCGGGGAGGAGCACATGGACGAGCACTTGTACGTGGCTTTCGCCAAGTTTGAGGAGAACCAGAAAGAGGTAAGCTCCTCTTGGTAATACATCAGACTGATGCCAATATTTCCCTTTGAACGTCGAGCCCCGAAGCTGTTTAACTGCAGTGCTTGTGGTTTCCATCACCTTGTGATACGCTGTTAGTCTGGGTTAAGGAGACAGTTTTTTTGCTCACCTCTAGTTGCCTTCTGATGGCATCAGGAAGGTGTGCTCTAAGCAAGGCGGGTGTCAGATCTGCCAAGCCTGAGAACAGCAGTGTCAGACCAAGCATGCATCCTAGATCTGTGGGGTTCTGAGAGATTTTAGGCCTGCAGGATAAAAAACCTCAACTGGCCTGAATGTTTCTCCACTGACAGCCGCTGTTAAGTTCCCAGGGTGGCAAGGAATGGAAAACACTCCGTCAACCCAAAACAACACCTCTTAAATATGGTTTACATATTCTAAACCTGTAAATGAACAAGAGATGGTGGTGGCTGACATTTACAGATTTCCCTCCCCCTCAAAGTTTACTCTTTAGGGAGATCTGCGTTAGTCCTGTTCTAAAATAGTCACTTACACAGAGACATTCCGTGATTCTGTAGTCTATTAAATATTGCCAAAAGCTCATGAAGAAACTGTGGGGTAGGACTGAAAGTGCCTTATAAGTATTAATCAAATGATATTGAATGTTTTCAGTTTGAAAGAGTAAGGGTGATCTACAAGTATGCCTTGGATAGAATTCCAAAGCAGGATGCCCAGAATCTTTTCAAGAATTACACCATTTTTGAGAAGAAGTTTGGAGACAGGAGGGGAATTGAAGACATCATTGTCAGCAAGAGGAGATTCCAGTACGAAGAGGAGGTGAAGGTACGTGTTACAGGTACCCTCCAGGCTCACTGTGCATCCAGCTGCTGCTTAAGGTACAGCAGTGTCTTGTGATGAGTTTTACATTATCTTTGATAGTCAAAGAAAATAACAAGAGAACACCAAGACAGTGTTCATTTTGGAGGCAGAATTCTGTCTGTGGAGAAGAGAACGATATTTGCATTCACTGCTTTTTTGTTTCTGCTTTCTAATCCAGACTGTGCAGACAAAGTTTCTGATTGAACTCAGAGCTTGGTACCCTTTGCAGTGACCTTAGGGCATAATGCAATTTAGCTTGTAACTTACTACTCCAGCTATGGGGTAACCATTACAGGACACCCCACCTGTGTCCAAATACCTTTTTGGGAGGAAACAGCTGTGCCACTCCTGTCTGCTGTTCACTGAACGCTGCATATTTCACCGTGCTCTCATCCCTTCTCACACTTCGTTTAGAAAATGCTTGTAGGCAAAATCAAAACCAAGCTCACTTTAACCCAGAAGCTCTAGTGCGACCATCCCCAAGACTGACAGTGGTTCGTTAATCCTCCCATGACCTATGTGAAAGGAGAAATTCTGACTAAAACTTAAGTAAAGGAATAGGGTCTACTATTTGTAGTGACTGAAGCCTCTCCCCTCTTTCCCTCTCCCACCTTCCTGGAAGGCAAACCCCCATAATTACGACGCGTGGTTTGACTACCTGAGGCTGGTTGAGAGCGATGCCGACGCCGCGACCGTGCGGGAGGTGTACGAGAGAGCCATCGCCAACGTGCCCCCCATCCAGGAGAAGAGGCACTGGAAGAGGTACATCTACCTCTGGATCAACTATGCCCTGTATGAAGAGCTGGAGGCAAAGGCAAGTAGTAAGAACTCGGGTTTTTTTTCTTTCCTTCACAATGTTTTCCTTATATTAAATAGCCACTGGTATTTTAATAGGAAAACTGAGAACTAAACTTGCTGTGTCCTACTGCTTTTGTGCAACAAGCTACATGATTTACTATTTAACTATATGGGATTTTCCCCCTTTCAGTTTTCCCTCCTGTGCACAGGGCATACAAAAAAACCCCAAACAAACAAACTTATTTCATCCCAATTCATCCAGGAAGGTGCTGATGATAAATGCAGAAGTGGGTATTTCTAGCCCCATCTGAACTGCACTGTTACCTGAATTCGTGAAATAGTTCTATATTTAGCAAAACATTTGTGAAGCACCCACATTGCTGCCATGGCAGCCTTTG